TAAAAGACCCAAACCAGATAGCTTCAATTGCACCAAGTCCTTTAATCCACTCTCTTTTCCTTGATAGGATCCTCAGAAAATTTAAAAGGAGCCAATAGGAAATTTGTTTCAGACAAAGCTGGAAAAAATTCCATCTACTCCCAACACCATTAGGTCTTATTCCTAAAACTAAATGAGAAGTCACTCCACGCTTCCCCCCCCCCCCCTTTCTGCACAAAAGTAGCAAATTGCCTTTACTGAGCTGACCAAATTCTAAATTGGGCAATTATGTTTGGTGTCTCTACAGTCATCTGCTGTTTCAACAGAAATAGTCCTCACATCACATCTTAAACTCTGAGGAATTTTTTTTTTGCTGTTAAAATAGCTACTATGCTCCAACTGTGAGTTTCAGTGATCTCTTTAGCTGACTTAACAACTCACAGGAGTCTTGTTTGACCTAATTAACGAAAGCTCTCAGAGAACTTGCAGATCCTTTATTTAGAAGTAGTATAAAAATAACAAATCTTATCAACACATACAGGGTAAGAAAGAAAGTTATCTACCTTATCGGTATTATTTGCTGTCTCAATAGAAGTCATACACTGGTCTGGGCAACTACATAAAAGCCACACACATTTCACCATAACAAATGCAATTTTGCATCTTTATCCACCTCTTTGCCTACAGAAGTCTCTCCAAGGTTTGTTCTTGCTTTTCTGCTCTCTCTTCCTTGTCCCTTTGGAGCAGTCACAAGAACAAGCTCAGCTTCCCATAGTGGCACCAATAATAATCTTACTTTTCTTTCCTCTGCCACTCCATATATTAAGTACAGTATTGGGGAAGGGAATCACTGGCATCTTTTGTTTATGAGCCTTTGTAACGCTAAGAAAGGATAAGCAGAACCTTCTTCTAAATTTCTTCAGCTTCCCACAAAACAAAATAGGTATCTTGTCCAAATTAATCTAAAGAACAATATGGAGTATTTGAGCCAGGCAAAACTATAACACAAGATACAGGGTCCATAAGCTTAGTGACAATATACATACATATGTGTCTGTATGTGTATACATACACTCACATATACACACACACATCTGGTCACAGCTGTAGTTATCAGAAACTACCCATATTGTTGAGCAACTCAATATACAGTGTTTACACAGTACAGATTTTCAACACTCAGTTCCTATGAACTCCCTCCCAAAGATTTTATACAACAGCTGTGAATATAGGAAAATCCAAACCAACTAGGTTAAATAGAAAAGTGACCTTTTTTGACAGAAAGTAGTTACTAAATCTTCCTGTTTCTGTGCTCATCTTAGAAGCCTGCATACAGGCAGATCAGAAAGTGAAGAACTGCTTTTTTATTTTCCAGTGTCATGACACTGTATCTGTCTGCACACAGCCTACATATTCTAATAGTGGAAAAAAATGTGCTCTTTTCATAGAATCATAGAATGTTGTGGGTTGGAAGGGCCCTTTAAAGGTCATCTAGTCCAATCCCCCTGCCACAAGCAGGGACATCTTCGACTAGATCAGGTTGCTCAGAGCCCCATCCAACCTGACCTTGAGAGTTTCCAGGGATGGGGCATCTACCACCTCTCTGGGCAACCTGTGCCAGTGTTTCACCACGCTCATCGTAAAAAATTTCTTCCTTACATCTAGACTGAATCTAACCTCTTTTAGTTTAAAACCATTACCCCTTGTCCTATTGCAACAGGCCCTACTAAAAAGTCTGTCCCCAGAACCATCAAAGTCGTACCATCTTTACTCCTTTAAAAATATTAAATATTTAAATTCTATTACTGATTACTCAGTAACAAAAAAAGGTGATTTTTAGGTAGGCATTGAATTAACTAGGTTATCATTACTGCTACAAAACCCACCCAATATAAATAACAAATTCTGATAGCTTCCATACCAGTATTATTTGCATCCCTTTCCCTTTCCAATTTGAAACCTCCTGCATTTTCAAAAAAAACTTATTGTTCTGTTAGCTTTTAAAGCGTTATGATATCAGAATCCAACTACTCAGAGCATAACATGATATTACAGTAAAGAACACACCATACAACTTTCTATTTCAAATTCGGCCCTTCCTTTATTTTTCCTCCACACTCAGCTTCTAGTTCTACTAAGACTATCACTTTGCTTTCACCCTGATAACAAAAATTACAAGAATATCACAGCCCTGTGTAGTATTGCAAACTCAGACTAATCTTTCCAATATATATTTCACAGACATACAAACTAAATTTACCGCACAACTGTTGTAACTCAAACCTATTCAAGCTTCCCCACGCACAGCTTCTTCCTAGTAATAGCACAGACTCTCTGTGGTCAGAAGGAACCGAGGAAGATTGCCAACATTTTACATGAACTGATTTTCTACAACTCTCTCAAAGTTGTGCTTCACTTTGCCCTTCCATTTCTCACTGTTATCCTCCCTCCAATTTTTTTACAGCTGAGTTATTTTATCTTGGAGCTACATAGCATCCTTCTTCAGGCAGTGTTTTAATCGCTCCAGGATTCCTGGGCATTACATTCCAGTTCCTATTGTTTAACTGAAAGGCAAAGACAAACCTTGTAATGTTTCTCAATGATATTAGAGTAAAGCCATTTCTTGGAATTTTTAATTGAAACAAACTTGGTCTTTCGAAGTATAATCCAAGTAAGAAGTTTGACAAAAAGCAGGAGATGAACATTTCAGCCTATTCAGAGATATTAAGAGATGCTGTACATCTTGTTTGGCAGTTGTCTTGCCCTGCAATACTACTAAATAACGAAGTGCCTACTGTTACCATTTATAGGTGCTGACCTACTGAAAGCATCTGCAGTAACAACTAGCATTTGAAACTTCACTACAGTAAGGAACTTTTCTACAAAGCTGACTAGGCACAGTAGCATGATAAATAACATTAATTAGATTTCTTAGATTTTGGGAATAATAAAAATTTCTGCTGGTGCTGATCCAACAACAAGCAAGTATTTCCATTTAGTATCTTAATATATTTTAAGATACGACCTTACAACATAGCTTCTAGCATGAATACCAATTATAAAATCATAATACCAGCTCTGCCACATCCATTTGTGCACTTCTGTACACTTTTTCAGGCTTGAAATTTACAGTTTGTAAATGGGACAAATTTCTGCTACCCACCTAACAATAGTGGAGACTGTTCTTTCATGTCAGAAAGGCTATGGTACTACATCAGTAGTCTTGAACATAAAAAACCGCTGAAGGTTGTCGAACACTGACAGCTTTGCCCAGGGAATTTGTGGAGTCTCCATTCATAAGAAACTCAAAACCTGCCTGGATGCAGTCCTGGACAACCTGGTCTAGCTGAACCTACTTGAGAAGGCAGTTGAACTAGATGATCTCAAGAGGTCCCTTCCAACCTAAACAATTCTGTGACTACTTCTATATTAGAATTTTTTTTTTTCTAATTTCTGGAAAAAACATACCACAAAACTATTTATTTCCTACTCTGAAGCTCTGCCCATTTCTTCTTGTCATGGAACAGATGCCTCCTTCCAAAGTTCTATGAAAATAGTAAATTCTTTCCCCTGTTATTTAAGAATACAACAATGTTGTGTGCAATGCTATAATAAGTATAATGAGCTAGAATAGAAAGCAGTCCCAGAAAGAAAATCACTAATTGAAAGTTTATAGCTAGAGCTTGCTCTCTCCCTCTGCTCAGGGAATTGACTTTAACAATAAAAAAGAAATAGATTCGTAGAAAGGAAGTATAACTCATTTGTAGGTAAAACGAGTCCCCTTTCTCCAATTCAATACCATTGTCAGTATTACTGTTGTCTTCCTCATCTGACACTGGGGAGAGAGAAAATCTTACAGGAAGAAAACAGAAAAGATTGCTTTATTCACATACACCAGAGAGGTAGGTATTTGAAATGGAAAAAGGAGGAGTACTAGGTGTAAGAGTAGTATAAAAAGAGTATATATACCATGTGCCATGCGTGCCCTCCACCCACCCACCCCACCCCCCCACAATTCAATTGGATGCTCCTTTCCAAGAAAATTTCTTCAGAGGCATATGATCCCCATAGAAGAAGTGGGAGCAACAAAAGTAAAACTAATTTCATAATAGACTTGATTGCTTTTTGAAGGGAGTACGGAACATGGCTGGTTATGATAGAGATACACTAGACTCATTTAGTTGGATCTTTTCCGTGTTTATTTGTTAGATATCTAACCACTGTCACTTCAGGTTTAAATAAGGAAACAAAGCTGCTGCAGCTCTATGTAGTGCTATTTCTCTAAAGTAAGGAAATCATGCCTGTACCACCTACAGTTCTTGATCCTAATCCTACAGTTATGGCTAGTAAGTACTAAGCTAAAAAGAGGAAACTAACAAACAAACCAACCAACCAACCCAGGAAAAAAATACTTTCAAATGTGCAAGTTTTTTTATTTCCTGTTCCGTGGGACTTGGCCATTAAAAAAGTCAAGAGAAGAACAAAGATGAAAGCAGTAGGTGACATTATGTGGCAGCAACTGAAAATAATATAAAATAGATGAGTATAAAACTCAATACACTTATCCTGACTGTTTATTTTTAAAAGATGAAGGAACAATCATACAAAAAGACCTCTGAATTCTTCCTTTGTCAAACTCTAGATGCTAAAAACAAATACTCACAGACTACGCTGAATAATTCTTTGAAGTCTTTGATGGGACTTACAGAAGTCTTCCATTTTGTGTTACTAAACACATGTATTATTTCTTACATATTTAAGAAAACTTTAAAATTGGGGGGGGTTTAAACAATGAAGCTTTCAGATCTGAAGGCATAATTTCAAAACTGCTGAAATTTCCAACATAGCTCATGTGAAACTCGCATGATCAGTGATTCTGCAGTTTGCAAACCCCCCACTAGATAAAATGAATCTAACAATTCTTATATTGATTATGATTTTTTCCTAATGGACTGAAATGCAAACGACCTATCCCGAGATATTTGAGAAGTAAAGTAGAATGAGAAGGGTGCTGTTCTTACCACATACAGCTGTTTCCAGAGCACAGCCCATTCCTGCAGTGTTGCTGTGACTTCAGTCACAACAGAATCTTCAAGTGGAACAACTGTTTCATATTGCCTATACAAGAAAAGGAGGAAAAATTAGGAAAAGTACCCTGGAGAAGGTAGAAAAAGAAATAAATAGCATAGTAATTTGTAAAATGCTAGAACTTGAATTTGTTTGACTTTGTTCAACATAAAGGAAAACATCTTAAGAGGACCATCTTGTCTGTTGTAACACTGAAGCAACCCCAGAGTCATATCAACTGTTCCTCCATTACATTCCACAAGAGTCAGCTTATGGGAAGCATTTCCTAGTTACCTGTTCAAAATACATAATTTCATTCTAATCAAGGTCAATGAAAAAACTTTGCATGATTATAGCAAGTTAAATTAACTTGCCTGTAAAGTGGGGTCCTTCACAGTTTGTATCCCTTCTCTCTAAGCCAGTCCAGTACTTTTTTCCCTCCAATGAATATGTTGGCCAATATCATTAACAACCCAAAAGATCTACCATCTATTAACCCTTCCTATTCAGAAGACTTTTTCAATATTGCATATGAAACCCGAGTGAGCTATCCTCTAATCAAAAGAATAGGACTTGTCCCTTTGTAGTCAAGATCCTCCATATCCATTAAAGGAGAATGTCGTGGTTTCAGCCCAGCCGGTAACAAAGGACCACGCGGCCGCTCGCTCACTCACTCCTCCCGCCCCCCCCTCCGGGGGGATGGGGGGAAGACGGAGGAGAGGAAAAAAAACCAAACAAACCTGGAACCTCGAGGGTTGAGATAAAGGCAGTTTACTGGAACAACACAAAGAAATTGCAACAACAACAACGGTACTAATGAAAAAGTATACAAAAAGAGTGATGCACAGTGCAACTGCTCACCACCCGGGACCCGACGCTCTGCCACTTCCCCCACCGAAAAGAAGAGCCCACCCCCTGGCCCGCTCCCCAATTATATACTGAGCATGATGTCCCATGGTATGGAATAGCTCCTTGGCCAGGTCAAGTCAGCTGCCCCGGCCATGCCCCCCACCTCCCAGGTTCCTGTAAAAAAATTAACTCTATCCCAGCTGAACCCAGGACAGAGAATCACAGAATGGTTTGCGTTGGAAGGGACCTTTAAAGGTCATCTGGGCAACCTGTGCCAGTGTTTCACCACTCTCATCGTAAAAAATTTCTTCCTTACATCTAGACTGAATCTAACCTCTTTTAGTTTAAAACCATTACCCCTTGTCCTATTGCAACAGGCCCTACTAAAACGTCTGTCCACATCTTTCTTATAGCCCCCTTTAAGTACTGAAAGGCCACAATAAGGTCTCCCCAGAACCTGCTCTTCTCCAGGCTGAACCACCCAACTCTCTCAGTCTTTCCTCACAGGAGAGGCGTTCCATCCCTCTGATCATTTTTGTGGCCCTCTGCTGGACCCACTCCAACAGGTCCATGCCAGCCAAGCATAGCTGTCTCTTTCATCACACTGAAGTGCAAGAATGTGATAACTAATGTATGTACTGTAATACCATTATATTATCTGAGCCATTAGTGCCTTCACTTGCCCTTTATGTTGAATGCTATTACTGAAACAAGTGTCAGACACTGTAAAATTAAGGTGTTTCAAGCTTCTGCTCCTTCAGCAATTTTTTTAAAAGAGGGAGAATTAAACAAAAACAAAACCCAACACGTTTCTGAAACGCACCATGTTGGAACAATTTTCCATAGGTCCTAAAGTAGCAGTACTGAAAAATACTGGCTCAAAAGGTGGTTTGGGACAAGTAGCGTCAAGGATGTGCTGCAGAGGCTGTCTCTCACAACTATGAAGCACACTCACCCCTTCCTCTTCAGCAGTACAATTGTGTGTACAGCTACTTTGAAATTCTCCTGAAGGGAAGCTATAAACTCCCCATTTCCATAACCCGTTTAGGCTATTTCTTCTGTCCTTTGTGCAGAGTTAAACGGCTAAGAAGTAAATACACAAACAATGAGATGTAATTAATTCTGAAAGGTGTTGGGTTTTTGTTGTTTGGGCATTTGTTTGTTTGTTTGTTTTTAAAAGAGAACACAGTCATTAAAAAAAAGCCACTCACTTTCATGGCAATATTTCCCTTTTGAAAATTCTTTCTAGAAATAATTGTGCCACATTAGCTGGAGCCAAAAGCAGCAAGTGATGGGGGAGAGGATGATGAAGTTAAGTCACTGTATGTCTCTATGTATTCTTGAAGCAGAAAACTTATCAAACAAAAGCTTAAATTCTTCATTTCCAAGCTACCAAAAACTCAGATCCACATCAATGACATAAGTAAATCTTATATTAAGAACCAAAATATACATATGTTAGAAGCATCACTATCTTAAAAACCTGGCATAGTCCTATCAGGTATGCATTCAACCCACTAAAGATGGGACTGGAAAGCACCAATTCATATACATACATACCAGGAGACTAGGACAGATCACAATTTTTTTCTATTATTATGCCAGTGACCTTATCTTTCCACCATTTTGTTGTGAGAGACTGAAATACTGAGAGATACTTGGCATCTGAGATTGTGCTCTATTCTACTCCTGCAATGTTTTTGTTTGGTTGGTTTTGGGGATTGGTTTGTTTTTTCAAATTGGGCCACAGTAAGACTCGGAAATCTCAATTTATGCTTTAACAAAACTCCACAGAGTATGCTTGTGATCTGAATTACAACACTAAGAATATGATGAAAATCACAACAGCTTTTCTTTAGGTCATATTCCAAGATCATTTCAATGGTTAAACGAAAATTCTGCATTTAGTATATATCATCAAAAGTTTGCTTTACGCTAACAACATTAAAAATGATGCCACAACCACTTCTAGCTGAAAATTCAGTTCTTTTCAGATGTCTGTAAAATGCCATTACAGGGAAGGGATTCAAAATAGTTCAACATCCCTTTAAGAAACCACAGAAAACTAAAGGATGAAAGGAATTGCACAATATACTTTAGCTAATTATGGGAAGAAAAAAATCAAAACCAAAGAAGGATGTTCTTCTAAAGATCATTTTTAGAATTGGATTTACAAACTTTTAGCATCAGTGAAAAATAAAGCTTTTTGGAAGATCAGCCTTCAATAGTATGCCTGGATTTAAAGAGAACGCACATCAGGACTACATTTAACCATGTAAATGTAATGCTTTGCATTCCTATAACCCTGCACTTCCTCCATTATACCCACATATTAATGACATTACATTGGGTCTATGACTCAAATATAAGAACTTTATATACAATGGTCTGTTACGTCACAAGTGTTTATACTGGCACTTTGGATATATTCTTAAATACAGGGGCAGAATTTCTTTTACCAAAACATGAACTAACCCTGATCTCTGGTTCAGAACCGTATTACGTTCTGTTGTATCAATTGGTATACCAGTCTTTGATACTTATTTTAAAAATGTACATTGACTTCCCTAGTAGTATCTAAATATCCTGAACTGGTTGCCCTTTAAAAATTCTGAACTAACTTCAAGTACTAATTAACTAGATTGCAGGAAACTGGTCTTCCCCCTCAGGAGAGTACATGTTAGGAGTAGTCATTCTATGCAATATATATAATTTTATTACACCCCAAAGTTATGAAGCATCAGTAGTACAGCTGCCCTTAAAATCTTTACTCAGTCTCTTTATGGATAAACATACAATTCAAGACTATCAGAAGTCTCATATTTTTCTACAGGTACTTCACTAAATGCCATTTAATAAGTTTTATCTTCCTCATTTAATTTGTTGCCTTGGGTCACTGTCTGAAATGCTGCACTTAAAAATCTCCCGACAGTGGCCTTAATGTAGAATATGCAGGTAAGAGCAGCAGTGAAGATGTAAGATATTGATTTCAGGAGACTCAGTCAATCTCAGAGGGAACTTTGCAGCTTACAGAGCCTACACACAGTAAAATCTCCAACATTACGTTGCCATCAGTATTGCCATTCACATTAACTAAATTAAACCTACCTCTAGCAGCATATGAGCTACATACAAAGACCATGAAGGTAAAATATTTTCAGCAGAGTGTACTCCGGTCATTCTTTGGCTTGAGGTGTGGAGGGTTGGATCCTTTTGAAAAGTTTCAAAGTAGCATAGCTACCTTGTCAGTTATGTCTCAGTGAAAATCTGCTGATAAACAAGATGGGCTGTCTACACGCCAGTGCCTCCATAACAAACAGGAACATATAGAATTTTGCCAGCGATGAAACAAGCAGAAATGAAAAATACAGAGTTCTTTAAAATACGTGTGTTTCAGATGATACCTCTGAAGTCCCAGTTTTATGAGCAGAAGTGAACAGGAGTAACCAACAGAATTGATTCTTGCTGTATTAAAAACCAAAAAGCCCCAAAGCTCTGCAGAATTACATTTAATTTTCAAACCCTAATACACAACAAAAGATAAAATGAACTAAAATCACTCTATAAATTTTAATAACTATTTCTTAGATTCCCTTCTAGATGAGAAGCACTGCAGCTTCTGAGAAAGAAGGAAAAATACTCACCCTCTGTTACTGACGATTGCCTTTTTCAAGTGAATATAGTTTGCAGGAAAAATCCCCTGCAGGAGAAAGAAGTCTGTAAGTTAGAAAAACACATTTGCACTTTTTAGCCTTTATATCCTAAGCCACAATAAATAATTGCCAATATACCTATTAAAAAAACCCTAACACTGTGTCAGAGAAGCTGCCACAGTTAAAAGTCAACACTCAGATTAGTCACAATTGATCATTTTAATCCACCTTAGACTAGGACAGCACAATGAATCAAACCTTCTTGAAAGATCAATTTCTTAATAAAGAAGTTTTGCAAGTCTATCCAATAAAAATTATCACACAAAGATTCAAGATGAGTACTCTTCATTCCCAAAAGCTCCTGAAATGTTCAGAAACACTGTTGTATGGGAAATATGCTCTGGTATAAAAATCACGGCTAAGTCAACTAGGTCCAAATCAAAAGGTGTCATTCTAATACTACACAGCTGCCTTGGAATGGACAAGATTGATTTAAAAGAAAACATTTAAGTTTAGACAATTGTCTACCTACTGCAAAGACTGTGCAAACCCAATAATCCACTAACAGGTGATAAGCAAGCAGGAATAACCCGTGACAAGTAGGAAGAGTTCAGAGAAGGGCTTGCAGTTAGCAGAAAGGAATGAGTAATGGATGTAACCACCAGGAACGTTTACTGGAGAGATGTAAGCTAGCTGGGACAGCCAGAAAAGTGGCTATCGTGAAGTTTGCAGCATAGCATCAGTATGCTTCCAGACCGGGCCTCTCTATCAGTATGCCACATTACATTAGATGACAAGGACATAGGTTTCAAAAAACAAAGGCAAAAAGCCCACCATCAAATTTGTGTCTACCCCCCCATACCAGTCTTTCACTAGGGTAAGTATTGTTGTATTACTTGCATACCCTGGAGCTATCCATTTTCCTCCCTCTTTCCAGCAAAAAGCTGTTTAAACACACTTGGGATAGCTCTGGTTATTTGCCTTTTGGTGTTCTCATGATGGTTGTATTTGAACCTTGCCTATGCTGTTGTGTTCTTGTGTGACGAGACATGGGGAAAAGAGGTAATTTAAACCAAACTTTCCATAGCATTCCATTATCTCTGTAAAACACATGGCCCTGAATCCTCAGAGCAAACTCAGTGTGTAAGAACAGTAAGCCTGCACTTCAGTGGCGAATACAGGATCAGCAATGGTAATCTTCAGGTTAAAAACCAGCTGACAGCCTCTGACAAGAATGTCAGTAACCAAACGTGGGCTTTAAATTTTGAGAGCTTTATAACAGTATGATTTAGGAAGAAAAATTTTCATGGGGGTTTGAAAGGAATACTAAATAAGATGATTCAAAATGCTAAGAAAAATTCCTTCTTTTTCATAGGCAAGACTGAAATTGCAGAAGGAGAAAAGATGACTAACAGGAATGGCTTCATCAGGAAAAAAAAAAGTAAATATGTGTGCTTTCAGCCACATGAAAATCTGGAAAAGGAAGAAATGCTACTTCAGTTCCTTGTTCGGTTCACTTCCAGTTAATGCTGTTTATTTCTGTGATCCTGTGCTGATTACCTAAGAAACCAAGGAAGGTTTGAAGGGCTCTCCTATCAAAACTGAACATATACGCAAGCAGAAGATGTACCAACACACATAAAATGAGTGTAGGCTTTTCCATTAAAAGAGTATTATAGTCATGAAAACATAATACAGGTAATATTACATTCTGTAATACAGGTAAATGTGAGGAATCTGGTACTCTCTGCTTTTTAAATACAAGCTGTATTTAAACCAAAAGACAATGAAGTGATGCTTACATAGAAGCAACTATTTACATGTTTGGATATACACATTTACAAAAATATACATGCACTCGCAAAAAATTGTTATCAGAACAGTCTCCAAGTTCTCCAAGAGCAAAACAGGAATATGACTGGAAAGTAACCAAATGCAGTGGTTAAACTGTAAAAATCTGAAAAAAGAACAAACTTACAATATCCTTTTTAATCAGACTTTTTTGAAAGTTGTCTTAGATTAATAATGCAAATTCTTAAATGTGTTCTTTAAAAATCCTGAATTAAGCTGTGCAAGATCACCCAGCTATGCTTTTCTTAGGGGATAGAGATAGAGGATAGAGAGAACCAAATTGGATGAGATTTATAAGTGTTGGAAAGATTACATGTTACATGTCAGGAAGGTTTCTGATCCTTTGGGCGACTAGTGAGTATTGTTCTTTCAATTTGGAAAATAAATCCAATCTTCCCACAGGAAAAAAGTTAAGAGAAATAAAATACTAAGGGTAAGGAAAACAAAAAGTTCACTGGGTTCCAATAGCAAAATAGATATAATCTCCCACTAGATTAAAAAAAATGTATTCACACTTACCTTTACATTGGGCTTCTTAATGGAAACACCTCTGTACCAGCCTAAAACCAGATAAAACACACTATATTAATTTGTGGCATTTCTTACTTTACACAGAAGCAAACTGACTGAAAACTATGCAGTTACTGAGATCATCTCAAAAGCCAGCTGTGCCTCATATAGGTCAAGTTTTTTAAGTGTTTTGTTTGTTGAGGGTTTTTTTGATTGTTGGGGGTTTTTTATTATTATTATTTTGCTCTGCAATGATGAAAAGCAATTAAGAACCTGGAATGCTCCTGTTTATTCCCATCAGGAATAAAAGCAGGTTAGTATACTTATTCACTGTACTCGCAATCATTACCCACTGTGGCAAATATGCATTCAGTGCTCATGCAAGAATCTGTACCGACCACTTTTCTTACATGAGTCTCTTTGCAGTGTTTATCTTAACAAAATCTCCAGACTTCAAAAACCTGTCCTTTTAAGGACAGGAAAAGCCATTATCCATTTCTAATATTGTTTAAACAAATATAAATCTTTTGCATGTGTCTGGTCTTATGTATGTCTGTGAGACTGGAGAACAGACTTTAGGATCTAACTTCACAAACCCAATTATTATCCTTGTATCCCCCATCAGTTAACAGTCCCAGACAGGACAATAAATCAGGAGTAAAAGCCAAAGCTGCAAAAGCTACAAGTTAAACAGAAGAACTGAATTACTCCCGTATTACACAGGTGAAAGTAATGTCACTCCAGGCAAGATTCATCAGGAAAAAAGTGCTGAAACCACCATTCAGTTTAACAATGGAAAAGGAGCACACTTTAGCTATTGTGGTAGATGAGCTGTTCTTCCACTCCATAAAACTACCTTGAATTCTTCTTAAAAACACGCTGCTCTCTTCATGTCTGGGTCTAATGCTTCACCCCAGAACATAAAGCTAACCATTAACACCTGAGCCTGGAATGTCCCACAGGAGCCCGGGCAATGAAGAGTGCCAGGAGGCAAGTTCCATGGAGGGGGCCTGGCCATCCCAAATTTGTGGGCACAGTTGGCCAGGCCCAGCTACTACTCAAGCAGTAAGTTCAACTGCCTGCATGTCACTCTTCTATCTGCTGTAGCCCAGTACTCAGACAGGCAACAACCCAAACTTGCCAAAACCCTAAAATTTCACATAATCTAAATCCACTTTCCATAAAAATTCCTCTAATTTTTCCAGCAACTTCCTCCTTTTAATTTTTTTTTTCTACAGAGGACAGATATAATTTAGCATCTGCAGCATTTAAAAGAGCACTAGGAAAACTTGTCAGTAATTTGCTATGAAGAATAGAGAAGAATAGAACAAAGTAACTGTGTATTTTGTCTCAGAAAAAGGACTTAATATTTGGCTGAATTATGACATGAGTCTCATATAGAGGCTCAGAAGTGGGGAAGAGGGCCTTGATTTTGTTTTAAAGACAGCCTGCTACTCTTGAATTTTTTTTTTTTTTAAGGAAATATGGATCAATATAAAAGAAAATAATCGATGAATTCAAGACATTTGCAAATCTTAGTATGGAAAAAATTAAAATCTATCTTCTTTATTACACAAATTTCTTATAAAGATAGGACATAACACAAAGATTTATTTTCCCATTAAATCATTGCTTAAATTAAAAAATAAAATTTTGTTTTCAATTTATTTCTTAGTTGATCAAACTTCATGGCAACCATATCAATATAAATATATATGCACAAACAACACATACAGATCCTTAAAATGAGTAATTTCTAAAACTCTACACAACTGTGCCTGCAACACCTGCTTTTGAGTAACAGATGCTACATATTTCTAAGGTCACAGAAAAAAAAAGGCATTTATTCTCTGACTCATTGCTACCAATATAAAATGGAGCATGCTGCTAACTTTTATATTCATAGACTGTGTACCTTACAAATAAACATACATTTTAAGCTTTAAGACAAACAGAGTGGCAAACTTCTTGGTACATATGGAAAAAATTGGTTTTATCTAAGCTTGTGAACAGAACTGTAAAGGTAGAACAAAACTTGATAAAGCAGGTGTCTATTAATGATTTAGATGTGCAGGGTAGGGGATGAAACACATTTTCAAAAAACTACCTTATTTCTGAGTTTCCTGTTCTTAATCCCAAACCAGATCATCAAAGATTAAAAGGTATGTGTTTACAGAGTTGTATAAAACAGGAATGGAAGGACCCCTGAGAAATCATCTAGCTCATCCAAGCGATGCCTCTAAACCTCTCCTCACAGATGTTTAGCCTTTTTTTAACAGTGCCCAATAATTTATTACCAGGACTGAATAACACAGCACTCCTTGCCTGGAGAAAATGATCCACAAAACTTCCACAAAATGTAAATTCCGAGGTATTTCTGCACAGCATTCCAAGGAAAGAGTATATTTCTGCTACTCCACACAGACCAGTTTGAAAGTGGTGGTGTTGCACAGGCATCTTTTTAGAAGAAATTTCTTCCACGGATCAACACTGGCCAAGAAAACTGCACATAACAGTAACGTTTTGGTATAGTACTTGAAAATCTAGAATATGTCAAGTGGAGATGGCAAATCCTCACTGGAGAACCTATTTCAGTGGCTCAGACAACATATGTGCGCTTTATAACCTGAACTTTCTTTGCGGCTATTTGAATCCAGGATTTTTTTTCTTTTGCAGAATATGGAAAACATTTTGTTGACTTCTCTTTTGTAGGTACTTTTATAAATTTGAAAAGTGGTATATTTGCCTTTAATCTTGCAGATTGTGCTCTCCAGATCTTAGTTTTCCTTTCTTTTTTCTTTTTCAATGTGGTATAGTATTTTTAGAATCACCCTTCTGTTTTAAGTTTCCTCCAACTCCATGCAAGCAACATACAGTAGAAAGAAGAGCTCACCAGAACCTGAAAGTGCTAACTTGCAAAATGTAACTCCTTATTTGCTTACAACGGACACCACCAAAACCTCATTCTGTATCTCAAAGTAAAAGCTATGAGAAAAGGGACAATGCTTTTTTAAAAAACACATTTAGAAAATTGCATCTGCATTACATTATTCACTAAAATGAACTAAAGCTTCATGCTGGAATTAGTCTTAAATAGATTAATATTGATCTAATCATCTATTTTAAAGAACATTTATTTTAGAGGATTTAATCATGATAGTCATCAAATCCAGGCAGGTGCTTCAGCTAATTGTGATCACAACATGCACTACAGAGACTTCAATATTGACTAATGTTTTTAGATGTTACTGTACTACAAATAATTAATTTTTAATACTTTAGAATTATGCCATTCATTTTCTAGTGATACATGGCCTTTAAAGGGTACTGACTTCAAGGCAATGGTGAAAAAGATGGGAGAAGCAGAAAAACATGGCTATGAAGTGACAAGAATTTTGTGAATAAGTTAATGTGAAACAATCAGGAGTATCCACAATTTGAAAAGAATAACTGTCTAGTAATTATCAGTAACCAATAAGAATCTGCAAACAGATGAAGTTAAGGCATAAGACTAGAGCTGGAACACCCACAGTCCCTACAGAGAAAGACTGTGTTTCATGCACACAATTCCTCCCCGCATTTCCTTTTCTGACAGCTACGAATACTCTCAAACTGCTTGACCTAGTGGATGACCTAGGGAAAGGAAGACAGATAATTCTAACTGTTTTTCAAAAAAATGAATCGCCATACTGGGTTTGGCTGGGATGGAGCTAGCCTTCTCCACAGTAGCCTGTCTGATGCTGTGTTTTGGATTTGTGGCTAAAACACTGCTGACAGGAGACCAACATTTTGGCTATTGCTGAACAGTGCTTGGACAACATCGAGGCTTTGCCATTTTCCCAATGTGCCACCCCCAGCAAGCAGGCTAGGGGTAGGCAAGAAGTTAGGGGCGGACATAGCTGGGACAGCTGACCTGAATCAGCCAAAGGGTTCCTCCATACCATATAACATCATTTACTATAATACCAAAAATTAGTCTATTAGAAGCACCATTCTAAGCAACGTCCTATTTAGGATAAGAAAGAGAACACTAAATATATCCTAAACAAGCCCGATGAATTTCAAGTATTATATCATAGTCAAAATACGAAGACATCCTAGAACATGCAAAAATAGTTTGATGATACAGATGACATTGCAAGCAAACTTTTTTTTTCTTTGATCACACAGGAAAACAGGCACAGGATGAGCCTACTGCTTACGCCATAGCACAATAACAACTGAATAAAGCACTGTTAATGTCTGAACATTTATGAGAAGCTGAGGATGAATGCAGCCATTTGGACTGCATTTTAATATTGCACTGATGTGTATTTCTGGGTAAGTGTCATGACAAAGCCATGTACTTGATAAATTTTGATGAATGGAGGTGCAAAGCTTTTTATTTGTTTGTTTTAAAGAAACTGGTAGTATGATAAGACATAATGCCTCAGTAAAACAGAAACTGTCAGTGCAGGAATCACAATTTCCTAATCTAACTGATTTTGAACACCTCATGCTTTATGTTCTCAGTATACACAAGACAAAGGTTTAATCCACATGCTGTAGAAAAAAAATTAATGAATCGTATCCATTCCAGTGTGTTCTGGACAAGTCACTATCTTAAAGCCCTATTCCAACTTCGCCTTTACACGGACTCTACTGCACAGTGCAGGAGATAAACCAAGCAGACTACCTGAAGCAATACAGCCACACTGCACAGTGATCCATTCCAGCTAAGCCTACCACAGAGTTGAAACATTATGTTTCTGAAGTGAAACACAGAACCCAGGAAAAGCCACAATCTTTTACAGCTGCTTTTTTCAATACCATCTAACAATATTTGATACAAGCTAAGAAAAGTGAAGAGTAGGCTGATCGACAGCTCTGCCCTCTGTTTACCCTACACAGCACATAATCCCCCAAAGAGCTGCAAGTATTAGTTCCATGGTAATAAAACTTCAGAAAAACAAAAGGAAAAGTACGCCATTATGCCTGTTTCCCCCGCACATTAAGACCACCACTTGCTCATAACTTTTTCTTCAAAATGTATTGTCTATACATATATTCA